TCAATGAGTGAGTAATAACGAGTTATTTCAGATCCATTGTTTGTGATTGTTTTGTCCATGTGTTTTTCACTTGTAAAAAAAGTGGAAGAGGTCTGGAGACTAAGTGACACACGCACACATATATTATGTGATCCTAAAATTTAACTTCGAGATAAATTTCAATACCTTCTCTCAATCCACAATGATACAAGATTCGAGTTAACTCGTTTATTACCATTTTAGATACCTTGGAGATTATGAAAAAACCGCAATGATCTTCTCTTCAACAATACAACTCGTCTATTACCAGTGTGATACTTTGGAGATTATAGAAAAGCAGTAATGATCTTCTCTTAAACAAAGTGGACATTGATGCAGTGTAAACTTTGAAACGTGCAAGAACTGGTACAACAAAATGGTTTCAACCAATGTTGGAATTGGATGATTTAGTACCAAGCGAATTACATTTCAATATTCAAACTCAAAATATGGCGCACCATTGAAAAAAACCACCAATTGGTTGGAAGAAATGTAATTATGACATTTCTCATTATGAATGAGACATAGATTTATGTGTGAAATGTATTATACATAATTCACATAACATTTTTCTGAATGATGGAATGGACAACTGGACAAATATCAAGGACGGATGACAATAAAAAAGCGGAATGCTCTTCACTACTATGAGCACTCCAATCCACATGGTCGTTATGATGTCATGTAGAACGAGATAATCTCACAATTAACCAACTCATAAACACCAAAAGATTGCAACATTACATCGATGATATCCACAAGTGGTGCAAAATGTTCAATGGTATACGTTTTTTTTTTCAAGCATCGAGAATCCAATATGTGCTGATATTTTAGGTAGAAAAGCAATTACTTCTAATTTTCAACGGTCGTTGTTTAATTGTTGTCCAAATTTTCTTATATCATACAAATCACGATGTTGATTCTGAAAATTAATGAAATATTTTATACAGGAAACAAAAAAAACAAATAAATTAAAGGATATTATTCAACCATGGATTATCGAAAATTTTAAAGTGTTAGGACTTTTAAGAGATCACAGTTCAAAATAAGAAATGGTTTCTTTAGCTAGTTTAATGTTTTTTCATTCGAGGACCTGCGTTCGAAATACAGCTATCTCGCTAATTGCATAAATTTTCATTTAGAGAAAATATTTGTTGCTTTGACCAAAAAAAAAGGAAAATATTTGGGTTTAAGCCATAAACCCTAAAAATCGTTTATTTTTTGTTTGGTTCATGCGATTTTGAGTTCCGCAAGTGAATGAAAGTTAAGTTCCCAAAATTTGGAGGATCCTTTGAAGGCTTTTGATCTTCCTCCGAACCTTTGTAAGTTTTGAGATTTATCCTCTATGCCTGAGAAAATCGTTTTCTCGAATTGAGTGAGATAGATTGGTTCGAAATTTGTTGGGTTTTGTGTTTCCCTTTGTCATGTATTCTCTGATTCTCCATGGAAGAAGGTTGATCGGTTTGCAGAAATGGCGTCATTTGAGTGTTTCAGTGAACCCTTTGCAAAATGCGTCTCCTTTTTTCAGTTCCTTCTCCTCTGCTAGTGCTGCAGATGTAAGCCCTAAAGATGGTCAAAAAGACAAGACTTTTACTGTCTCTTACCTCGTTGGTTCTCTTGGTTTAGCTGCAAAACCGGCTGAATCGATCTTGAGGAAAGTCAGTTTAGGTGACAAGGGCAATCCTGATTCTGTTTTGAGTCTTCTTAGGAGTCATGGATTCACAGATTCTCAGATCTCCAACATCATTACTGATTATCCACTATTGCTTATAGCAGATGCTGAGAAATCCATTGGTCCCAAGCTTCAGTTTTTGCAGTCTAGAGGAGCTTCAACCTCTGAGCTCACTCAGATTGTTTCTACAGTTCCGAAGATCTTAGGAAAGAGAGGGCACAAATCTATCAGCTTCTACTATGATTTTGTCAAAGAGATTATAGAAGCAGATAAGAGTTCCAACTATGAGAAATTATGTCATTCTTTGGCACATGGTAACAAGGAGAATAAAGTCAGAAATATATCGGTTTTGAGAGAATTAGGCGTGGCTCAGCGTTTATTATTCCCATTGCTCATCTCTGATAGCCAACCTGTCCATGGAAAAGAAAGGTTTGAAGAATCCCTCAAGAAAGTTGTTGACATGGGTTTTGATCCAACAACCTCAAAGTTTGTTGAAGCTCTGCGCGTTTTTTACAATTTAAACGACAAAACAATAGAAGAAAAAATCAATGTCTACAAAAAGTTAGGCTTCGGTGTTAATGACGTATGGGCAATTTTTAAGAAGTGGCCTTTTTTTCTGTCATACTCAGAGAAGAAGATAACTCAGACGTTTGAAACCTTGAAGAGGTGTGGTCTGCTCGAATACGAGATCCTGTCAGTGTTGAAGAAGCATCCGAAGTGCATTTGTTCTTCAGAGCAGAAGATAGTGAACTCCGTTGAAACATTTATAGGCCTAGGGTTCACTAGAGAGGATTTTGCGATGATGGTCAAGCGCTATCCTCAGTGCATTGACTATACTGCAGAGACTTTGAAGAAGAAGACTGAGTTTATTGTGAAGAAGATGAATTGGCCGCTAGAATCCTTGGTTCTTATCCCTCAGGTATTTGGATACAGCCTGGAGAAGAGGACTGTCCCGAGGTGCAACGTAATCAAAACTCTCATGTCAAAAGGACTGATGGGAGACAGAAGTGAAATGCCTCCAATGTCCTCTGTTTTGACAAGTACCGATCAGTCGTTTTTAAGCAGGTATGTCATGAAGCATGACAAGCTGGTACCTGAGTTGATGGCTATCTTCACTGGAAATCGTGTTTCATAGATCAGAAGTCACACCCCACAACAACAAGCAGCGTCAAGGTTTGCATTGTTTTTTTGTTAGTTTTAGATTCGTCAATGAATGATTCGACATCAGACTTTGTTTAATAAACCTCTGAAACCTATTTAGACTTTTGTAATCTCAATTTGATGCGGGTCTGATCCATTTCTATATGCAATCCGACTTGGAAACTAACAAATAGTAATTTTGAATCTCATTTAGAGTTCGAGGACGAACTCTATAACGCCAGTGGCAAAGAAACGTCCTTTGCATTTTCGATAGCATTGCATATTCGTAACCTCAGCGAATGTGGTTTCAGCTTTTGCTTCGGAAGTCAATTACTTTATCCGTTAGGTCACATTGCAAGTCAAAGATTTTCATTGATTGTCATTAATCTATATATGATGCGTTTCTTCTGCTTCCATGATTTTCTAACGAAGAAGCAGAAATGGACTCAAAAAAGTTTAGCAATAAGGTTTTGTTATTTCAAGTGATAGTATTCTTCATAAGCTCTTGTTGTTTCTAGTGAGGACATGGAAGTATCTCTCACTCAATAGTCAATAAGTCAATAATAGACTCAACTATATGACTAAACACTTTGCCTTTTTCTCCTCCATATATGACTTTTCCAAACACATCTCTCTAGAAAACCTTTGATCTTGAACCACCCACGATCCTCTCTCATGGCTTCTTCTTTGTCTCGCACCTGTAGACACCGTGTCTTCACGAGCTTTCACGGAAAAGACGTTCGTAAAACATTTCTCAGTCATCTACGCAAACAGTTCGAATAAAATGGGATTACCATGTTCGATGATCAACACACCGAGAGAAGCCAAACCATCCCTCTTGCGCTCACACGAGCGACTAGGGAATCGAAGATCTCCATCGTGGTGCTCTCGAAGAACTATGCTTCTTCCAGCTGGTTCTTAAAAGAATTGGTGGAGATTTTGGAGTGCAAGAAAGATAAGGGACATATAGTGATGACGATCTTTTATGGAGTAGATCCATCTGATGTGCGGAAACAAACGGGTAATTTTGGGAAAGTTTTCAAGAAAACATGTGCTCGTAGAACAGAGAAGGAGAGGCGAAGATGGAGCAAAGCTTTGACTGAGGTTGGCAACATAGCCGGAGAACACTTCCTAAACTGGTTTGTGTTAAGTTATTTTTGGTTTGCTTTTCTTATGTTCTAAGAGTAACAACTAGAAGGAAGTACGGTAAATATAATAGAAGTGGAGTGGTTAAGGGAATGTTTTTTGTTGAATAGATATTGTACTTACATTTTATATATTATTGGGAATGGAGAAATGTTATCTTTCTCTTTTTTTTTTAGGGACAATGAAGCCAAAATGATTGAGAAGATTGCAAAAGATGTTTTAGATAAACTGAATGTCACACCGTCTAGGGATTTTGATGGCATGGTGGGACTTGAGGCTCATTTGATGGAAATGGAGTCTTTGCTAGAGTTAGATTATGACGGAGTTAAAATGGTTGCAATCTCTGGTTCTGCAGGGATTGGCAAGACTACCATTGCCAGAGCTTTATGTAACAGACTCTCTAGCAGTTTTCAGCTTACTTGTTTTGTAGACAACCTTAGGGGAAGCTATCACAGTGGTTTTGATGAACATGGTTTGAAGATGCGTTTACAGGAACAGTTTCTTTCAAAGGTTTTGAACCACAGTGGTATGAGAATATGCCATTTAGGTGCTATAGAAGAAAACCTATGCGACCAGAAAGTGCTCATTATTCTTGATGACGTGAACAATCTAAAGCAATTAGAGGCGTTGGCTGGAGATAGTTCTTGGTATGGTCTTGGAAGTAGGATTGTAGTAACCACAGAAAACATAGAGCTTTTGCAGCAACATGGTATCAACAATACGTACCATGTGGGTTTTCCATCTTACGAACAAGCGATCAAGATCTTCTGTAGATATGCTTTTACAAAACGTTCTCCAAATTATGGATTTGAAAAGTTTTTTGGAAGGATAACAAAGCTTTGTGGTAACCTTCCATTGGCTCTACGTGTGGTGGGTTCATTATTACGTGGGAAGGAGGAGGAAGAATGGGAAGATGAAGTGAACAGGCTGGAAACTGTTCTTGATCGAGATATCGAAGAAGTACTAAGAGTCGGCTATGACAGTTTGGATGAGAATGAGCAAACACTATTTCTCCACATTGCAGTCTTCTTCAATCGTAAATATAGTGATTTTGTGAAAGCCATGTTTGCTAATGGTAACTTGGATGTTAAACGAGGTTTGAAGATCCTAGTCTATAGATCTCTGATAGAGATAACTGCAGATGGGAAAAGTATAGAAATGCACAGATTACTACAACAAATGGCTATAAAAGCCATTCGTAACCAAGAGCCTTGGAAACGCCAAATCTTAATGGATGCTCATGAGATTTGTGATGTCCTTGAAAATGAAACTTTAAAGTTCTTTTCCTTTCTTTACATTTGACCATTTGTTAATCATAGTTGCTTTAAACAATTCATTTGGTGGAGATGAACAAATCTTACCTATGGTCGTACTAATTTCTTTTTGTTTGGAATATTGGTTTAGGGTACTAGTGCTGTGTCTGGTATATCATTCGATATATCAGGAATGAACGAGTTGATCGTGAGCAAGAGAGCTTTGAAAAGAATGTCTAATCTTCAGTTTCTTAGCGTCCACAAAAGCAGAGATGATGGGAATGATATAATGTATACACATGAGGAGATGGAGTTTCCGCGTCGGCTTAGGTTACTACATTGGAAGGCATACCCAAGAAAGTGTCTTCCTCCTACATTTAATCCTGAATATCTCGTCGAACTCGATATGCGGCATAGCAAGCTCGAGTACCTCTGGCAAGGCCCCCGGGTTGGTGTTTACTTTCTTTCCATGTCTATGATTAATTAATTATCTTCTCTTCATGTTATATGATGTTATGCTCTCTGTTGCTGTGTGGTTTTCTTACATATTCAGGAGCTTAAAAATCTCAAGAAGATGAATTTGTCACGGTCCTACCACTTGAAGGAACTTCCGGATCTTTCAAATGCTACAAATCTGGAGGAACTGAACATGAGTCATTGCGAGAGTTTGGTAGAGATTCCATCCTCTTTTTCGCATCTTCAGAAACTAAAAAAGCTGCGAATGTGGGACTGCATAAACCTACAAGTCACTCCACCTGACCTGAACTTGGCATCTCTAGAACTCATCGACATGAAAAGGTGCTCAAAACTGAGAAAACTTTCAGTTATTTCAACGAACTTCTGGGATGTGGATATATCAGAAACAGCGTTTGAAGATTTGCCTCCATCAATTACGCTTTGCTCTCGTCTTGACTGTCTCATTTTAAGGAAAAATGCAAATGTCAAGGAAATAACACATCTCCCCACGAGTTTAAGGTGCCTAGACGTAACCAATTCTAGTATTGAAAGGATTCCAGATTGCATTAAAGCTCTTCATCAGCTAGAACAACTTTTTCTTAGTGGCTGCAGAAAACTTGAATCATTGCCAGAACTCCCTAGTTCGCTCAAGATCCTAATGGCAGAGGATTGTGAATCACTGGAAACCGTATTTTCCCTCATGAATCACAGTCATAGTGCGTACCTAAACTTTACCAACTGCTTCAAATTGGGAGAACAAGCACGGAGAGCAATTATCCAAAGTTTGTCTTTTTGCAATGCAGGAAGAGAAGTACCTGCAGAGTTCGATCACCGAGCCAGAGGAAATTCTTTAACCATTCGTCCAGATGGTAACAATCCTCTTTCTGCGTTATCTAGATTTAAGTTTTGCGTCGTGGTGTCACCTAACCATCAAATGAGCGAATATTGTGAAGACTTATTGTGCCGTCGCATAGAAAAGGGCCACTTAGAACCTGTTGAAGAGAAAGTCATTATTGGTATTGTCTCCGAATATCGAGCTGAACATCTAGTTATATTTAACGCTCGCTTGCCATTTATCGATCCCTCTGAAGTGAGCGGAAAGATAGTCTTTGAATTCAGCAGCACTTATCACAGCGTTGACATTATTGAGTGTGGTGCCCACGTCTGGACCGACAAAACAATCGAAGGGAGCTATGAATCAGGATTAGACCAAGTGTTCGAAGATGGCTACGATAGTAACACTAATGGGAGCTATGAGTTTGAACACAGCGAAGCCTTTGAAGACGAAACCAAATACAGTGACAACACAAACAGAGTAAGCTGTGACGAGATTCTCGAGGGCCAAGAACATAAAAACTGTTGGAATTGGCTCTTCCTATGCTTCGATCTCTCCCATTTCGTGAGAAACATAAGAAACTTGGTTTCGGGAAGAAGACGATAGAAGCCGGAAGCTGTGTTGACGTCATGTGGCCATTCTCCAATTCATGCGAGACTGGGAGCTGGAAAAATAAGAGAGATGAACGAGGAAAGCGCCACACACACCAGAAATCTCTCTGCAATCATGGTAGATTCTTTGTTGCTGAGTAGTTCCAAGATAACATTTATATAAATGTATTTCCGCATACTTGCATTATTGTATTTGATGCAACCAACCAGAATATTGGTTTGGGTGGGGGAGTAGGCGAGATCAAAATCAACAGTACTAATTGAAATGCTTTTCAGTTTTAAAAGACCAAAAGGAATTTATAACTTTCAGATGTCTCTCTCTCATTAGTCAATAGAGTCAATTATGTGAGTGAACGCTTGTCTTTTTCTCCTCCGTTTATGACTTTTCCAAATACATCTCTCTGAATCTTTGATCTTGAACTACTCACGATCCTCTCTCATGGCTTCTTCTTCTTCTTTGTCTTGCACCTGGAGACACCGTGTATTCGCGAGCTTCCATGGAAAAGATGTTCGTAAAACATTTCTTAGTCATCTACGCAAGCAGTTTGACTACAACGGGATTTCGATGTTCGATGATCAAGAGATCCAGAGAAGCCAAACCATCCCCTTTGCGCTCACACAAGCGATTAGAGGGCCGAGGATCTCGATCGTGGTGCTCTCGGAGAACTATGCTTCTTCAAGCTGGTGTTTACAAGAATTGGTGGAGATTTTGGAGTGCAAGAAAGATATTGGACAACCAGTGATGACCATCTTCTATGGAGTAGATCCGTCTGATGTGCGGAAACAAACGGGAGATTTTGGAAAAGTTTTCAAGAAAACATGCTCTCGTAAAACAGAGGAGGAGAGGCGAAGATGGAGCAAAGCTTTGACCGAGGTTGGCAACATAGCCGGGGAACACTTCCTAAACTGATTTGTGTTTTTTTTTCTAATTTGGTTTGCTTTTTCTAATGTTCGAAGTGGTTTAGTTTTGCTTAGTAACAAAACAAATTATGGTGTTTTTGTTGGACGGTGAATAGAATAGACGTGAAGTGATTAAGGGAATGTTTTTGTTGGATGGGTATCATAATTTTCTTGTTGAATGGACCTTGTAATTACATTTCATAGATTATCTGGAACTGAGGAATGTTATCTCTATGTGTTTTTTCCTCTCATGACTATTTGATGAGAAACAATTAATGGTTTTTTCGTTCTCTTTTTTTAGGGACAATGAAGTCAAAATGATTGAGAAGATTGCAAAAGATGTTCTAGATAAACAGAATGTCACACCGTCTAGGGATTTTGATGGCATGGTGGGACTTGAGGCTCATTTGAGGGAAATGGAGGCTTTGTTAGATTTAGATTATGACGGAGTTAAGATGGTTGCAATCTCTTGTCCTGCAGGGATTGGTAAGACTACCATCGCCAGAGCTTTATATAATCGACTCTCTAGCAGTTTTCAGCTTCCTTGTTTTGTAGACAACCTTATAAGGGGAAGCTGTCATAATGGTTTTGATGAACATGGTTTGAAGCTGCGTTTACAAGAACAATTTCTTTCAAAGATTATGAACCACAATGGTATGAGGATATGTCATTTAGGTGCAATTAAAGAAAACCTATGCGACCAAAAAGTTCTTATCATTCTTGATGATGTGAACCATCTAAAGCAATTAGAGGCATTGGCTGGAGATATTTCTTGGTATGGTCCTGGAAGTAGGATTGTAGTAACCACTAGAAAACAAAAAGCTTTTGCAGCAACATGGTATCAACAATACGTACCCTGTGGGGTTTCCAAGAAAGAACAAACTAAGGGAGATCTTATGTAGATATGCTTTCAGAAATAGCTATCCACATGATGGTCTTGAAAAGCTTGCTGAAAGAGTAACAGAGCTTTGTGGTAAGCTTCCATTGGGTCTACGTGTGGTGGGTTCATCATTACGTGGGAAGGAGGAGGACGAATGGGAAGATGTAATGAACAGGCTGGAAACTATTCTTGATCGAGATATTGAAGATGTACTAAGAGTCGGCTATGACAGTTTAGATGAGAATGAGCAAACACTATTTGTCCACATTGCAGTCTTCTTCAATAATGAAGAAGGTGATCTTGTGAAAGCCATGTTTGCTAATGGTAACTTGGATGTCAAACGCGGTTTGAAGCTCCTAGCCTATAGATTCTGATAGAGATATCTACAGATGGGAGAAGTATAGAGATGCACAGATTACTACAACAAATGGCTAGAAAAGCCGTTCGTAAACAAGAGCCTTGGAAACGCCAAATCTTAATGGATGCTCATGAGATTTGTGATGTCCTCGAAAATGAAACAGTAAATTCTTATCCTTGCTCTTAATTGTACAAGTCATTTCCTAAGGATTAACAAGTCATTTGGTTGAGATGAGTAAATCTTACCTATGATCCTACTAATTTCATTTTATATGGAATTTGGTGTAGGGTATTACTAGTGTTGTGTCCGGCATATCATTTGATATATCAGGAATCAATGAAGTGGTCGTAAGCAAGAGAGCTTTGAAAAGAATGTCTAATCTTCAGTTTCTCAGTGTCTACAAAAGCAGAGATGATGGGAATGATAGAATGTATATACCTGAGGAGATGGAGACGTACCCAAACAAATGTCTTCCCCCTGCATTTCATCCTGAATATCTCGTTGAACTCGATATGCGGCATAGCAAGCTCGAGTACCTCTGGCAAGGAACCCTGGTTGGTGTCGTAGCTTCTCTTCATGTTATATGACATCAGATGTATGTATAATTGATTGCTTTATCTTCATGTTATATGATGTCATTTGCTGTGTTGTTTTAATTTCAGCCGCTAACAAATCTCAAGAGGATGAATTTGTTTGGGTCGAAGAATCTGAAAGAACTCTCGGATTTTTCTAATGCTACAAATCTGGAGGAATTGGACATGAATCATTGCCAGAGTTTGGTAGAGATTCCGTCGTCCCTTCAGTATCTGCAGAAACTAAAAGACCTGTTCAAAATTGATAAATTTTTCATTTATTTCAACCAACTTCATTACGGTGGATATATCAGAGACAACGTTTGAAGATTTGCCTCCATCAATTACGCTTTGCTTCCGTCTTAGCTTTCTCTTTATAAAGAATAGTGGAAACCTTAACGGAATAACACATCTCCCCACGAGTTTACTGTGTCTAAACCTAAGCAAATCTAGTATTGAAAGGATTCCAGATTGCATCAAAGCTCTTCATCGGCTACGTATCCTTAATCTATATGGCTGCAGAAGACTCGCATCATTGCCAGAGCTCCCTGTTTCGCTCTCATTCCTTTATGCAGCCGATTGTGAATCACTGGAAACCGTATATTGCCTTCTGAATCACATTCGATATGTGGAACTCGATTTCACCAACTGCTTCAAATTGGGCGAACAAGCACGACAAGAGATTATCCAAAGTTGGCTTTTTTGCGAAATGGTTATCTTACCAGGAAGAGAAATACCTGCAGAGTTTGAACACCGAGCCACAGGAAATTCATTGACCATTCGACTAGATGGTAACAATCGTTTTTCTCGATTCAAGCTTTGCGCTGTGGTGTCACTTAACCATCAAATCAGCCAATGTAGGGAAGATAAGGTAGAATTATTGTGCCGTCGCATAGGCATAGACACCGTTGAGGAGGTGTTCTTTGTAGGATATCTCTCCAAAAATGGAGCTGAACATCTTGTTATATTGGACTCTCGCTCGTCATTCGATCCCTCTGAAGTGAGCAGAGAGATAATGTTCGAATTCAGCTGTAAATCCCAAGGCTCTGATATTATTGAGTGTGGTGCCCACGTCTGGACCGATGAAACACAGCGAAGCCTTTGAAGACGACACAAATGGAATAGTAATCTGTGACGAGATTCTCGAAAACGTACAGATTGTTGGAGCTGGCTCTTCCTCTGCTTCGATTGTCTCCCATTTCGTGAGAAACATCAGAAGCATGGTTTTGGGAAGAAGATGGTAGAAGCCGGAAGCTGTTGACGTCACGTGGCGATTCTCCAATTCATGCGAGCTGGAAACATAAGAGAGACCAAGGAGGAAAGCGCCACACACACACACCAGAATCATGGTAGATTCTTTGTTGCTGATTTAAATAGAAGATAACAAATAGTATATTATTCGATATTTATTTCCTCATGCTTGTTTTGTGCAGAGGGTGTTTTAGTAATGCTATAAAGGACTTTGATTTGTCACAAGATCCCTTGATCGATTTTTTTCTGAATCTCCAAGTGATTAAGCTGATGCAAAGCTTTATGTCGAACAAGTATGTCATCCTTAGGTGCCATTTTTTTTCCTTTATGTTCACACATTATGTTCTGTGTCTTCTTACTTAAACTGTTTCTCTGCTAAAGATTAATGCTTGCTTGCATAGAGAAGCTATCACGTGTTCAATTGCATCTTCAAAAGTTATATATGACTAACATGTAAGCAAATGACCAAATAGCTGAAGGGAAATGTGAATCTAAAC